CCAGAGACCGTCTGGTTTTGGGCTGAAACAAAGAAAAGTGCATCTTAATGAGGTTGTCAAAATTAGGCTCCTTAGGGGGCAGGAGGAGATTTGATTTCAAGCCAAAGATCGCTCCGCTAGTAGCAGAAATGACTGACTGTCGATTTCAGCTGTTCTGTGATTGTGTTTACACTATTTATTTTTAGTACTTTGCTGCAATACATAGGAGTCCTTATTTTTGTACTTTTCATACCAGTTTTCTTAGTGTGGTGGTGTACTTCCAGCTTCCCCATGGCACGATGGTTACTCCTACAAATAAAAACGGTTCCCCAAGACACAACTTTACCTTGTCTGGGCTTGTTTATTTCTTTTCAAATAATTGCACAACATCTGAATCTCATCTCGTACCGAAGGCCACCTTTCCCAGCGATCCACACCGACCATCCTCCTTGTCTTTGTTGATGCTGGCTGGGACTCTCTGAGCATCCAGGCCCGCCAACGCAAGATGGATTTAGTTACATTAGAATCACAGTAGGAGGCGGGAGGACTTGAGAAAGCAGACGCTGATTACAACCCATGGACCGTTAAGTGCTGCTCCTGGTGTTAGTACACATCAGGTGCATAAAGAGAACCTACTTACACACGTCTAGCCCCTCCAATCCAAGGGTTGCTTAATCCCTGATAGGCCACTTAAATGTTTCTAAACTACGGAAACCAAGACAAGATGGAGGGTGTTGGCCCTAGTTTTGATTGATGCACAGAGGAGGCCTGGAATGTGACACCCCTCCCCCATGCACCACACACCCACACTTGCCCTGCACTCTTCATTCTGGTGTAAATCAAGTTACTCTAATACCCCGGTGTCAGCATGAGGATCCTTTTCTACTGCCCTCAGCAACTTCAGCCATCACACACACCCTGTAATTTGTAATGCAGGAGGTGGCGGGACAGAGGCAATTAGATGTCCGGGCACACGCCATTCATCACTGCCACTGTTGTGGGAGAGCGGAGGGGAGGAGGGTGCCAGCAGCTGTGCAAGTACTTTCTCTTCACTCCCTGAAAGGGGAATGGAAAGAAAAGCAAGCCACCTCCCGGTATGCATGGCTGCTGCCCCATATGCACACTCTCCTGAAATGGTGCCTATGGGTTCAGGAGCCAGCCCTGGCAAACCCTGGCACAAATTAACCACTGAATGTAGTGGGAAAACGGTCAAAAAAACAGACCGACCCAAATGATCAGTTTGGCCACCAGAGGGCGCATTTGCACTGCCGTGGAAGTTGTTAGCAGCCCGATGTGGCCTCGCCTGTCAGTGTTTGGTGCACAAATCTGTTTGGCTGAACTGTCTTCAGGCAGCCCTACCCGGAGAGCACGGCTTTCCTGTGTGGTACGAAGAGGAAGAACATTTCAGTGGTCGTATATTTAACTGGCTCTGGTTTCCAGTGGAGTGTGCAAGACTTGGTCAGCGCCTGCAGCTCTCATGATAAAACTTCTCAGGCGGTTGTGGGGTGTGACTAGACGCACTGAAGTGGCCGTCCCTTGCCACTGCTCCAGACATGGCCCTAGTCTTCATGGCCCATTGGTTTCATGGCAGCCTGTCCAGTGTCAATTTGACAATCCTGTGTCTGCACGCTGTCAATCCGCATATACCATTGGGGCCACATTTTGTGGGGGGAGCCACTTTTCAAGTGCATGGAAGGGAAATATTTATTCCTCTTGTCATGAGGGAGCCTACGGAAGAGAGCGGCAGCCTGTGCATTGTCGTGACTGAGCTGTATCTCCTGAGCTACCCCGGCAGTGACCACTACCAAAAGAGGTGTGCTTTAAAACCCTGATGGAGGAAGGGACATGGAATTTATTTTTATCTCAGGATTGGTCAATACCCGGTGTGGAATTGGCTAGCTACGGCAAGGTTAAAATACCTTTGTCTCCTTTTCACATCAACAGAGCTACCTCAGCGTAACAAACGCTTTGGGTTTTTTGCACTAAGGACAAAACCTCCATCTTTGTGAGACCTCCCTGGAAATTGCAGGTCTCTGCAGGCTGTAACTGTCGTGTGGTTTGATTTTAGGTCCAAGGGAAACCAGGACACTCCAGAGAGACTTAACCACTCGCTTATTTACTGCAAGCTGGAAGCAGTTAATATAGTTGTTTAAATGTAACAAGTCTTAAAAGCAATTACTACACAATTCAAACCTTAAATACTATAAATTCTTAAGCAATTACAGCCTGTCCCCTAGTTACGAATGAGTTACGGACCAAACACTTGGCCATGACTCGAAGTGTTCGTAACTCGGATCCCATTGAGTTACATGGCGACCGCGCTGTTCGTAAGCGTGGATTGCGTTCATAACTCAGGGACCGCATTTACGACTGCTTTGCTCGTAAGAGAGGATAGTCATAAGTGGAGGTGGTCGTAAGTCGGAGACCAGCTGTAATACAGCACAAAGCAATGCAAAAGCAATTAATAGAAGATTATTATAATACAATAATTAAGCCTGGTTCGCTTATACGTCACTTGTATGCTACCAACAGTACCAGGCAGGAGGTCATGGTCCCTTTGATTCCCACCCATCAGGACCCCATGCAATAACGGAACCAGTGTGAAGGATCATAGAGCTGGAAGAGACCTCAGAAGGTCAAGTCCAGCCCCCTGCTCTAGGCAGGACCAATTCCAACTAAATCAACCCGGCCAGGGCTTTGTCAAGACGAGACTTAAACACCTCTAAGGATGGAGACTCCACTACTTCCCTAGGGAACCCATTCCAGTGCTTCACCACCCTCCTAGTGAAATAGTTTTTCCTAATATCCAACCTGGACCTCTCCCACCGCAACTTGAGATCTATTACTTCTAGTTACAAGCAGGACATGTGGATCAAATCCTGCTCCCTCCTTCCCTTTGATTATCTTTCCTATACATAAGAACATAAGAATGGCCGTGCTGGACCAGACCAAAGGTCTGTCTAGCCCAGTATCCTGTCTACCGACAGTGGCCAGCACCAGGAGCCCCAGAAAGGGTGGACCGAAGACAATGATCAAGCGACTTGTCTCCTGCCATCCCTCTCCAGCCTCTGACAGACAGAGGCCAAGGACACCATTTTATCCCCTGGCTAAATAGCCTTTTATGGACCTAACCTCCATGAAATTATCTAGCTTCTCTTTAAACTCTATTATAGTCCTAGCCTTCACAGCCTCCTCTGGCAAGGAGTTCCACAGGTTGACTACACTCTGTGTGAAGAAGAACTTTCTTTTATTAGTTTTAAACCTGCTCCCCATTAATTTCATTTGGTGTCCTCTAATTCTTTTATTTAGGGAACTAATAAATAACTTTTCTTTATCGGCCCTCTCCACACCACTCATGATTTTATAGACCTCTATCATATCCCCCCTCAGTCTCCTCTTTTCTAAACTGAAAAGTCCCAGTCGCTTTAACCTCTCCTCATATGGGACCCGTTCCAAACCCCTAATCATTTTAGTTGCCCTTTTCTGAACCCTTTCCAAGGCCAAAATATCTTTTTTGAGGTGAGGAGACCACATCTGTACACAGTATTCAAGATGTGGGCGTACCATAGTTTTATACAGGGGCAGTAAGATGTTCTGGGTCTTATTTTCTCACCCTTTCCTAATAATTCCTAGCATCCTATTTGCCTTTTTGACCACCGCTGCACACC